AGGGTGGGGATATTTGGATTATTTTGGGATCCAATCAAAGTATGTGAAGTTAAATGTTCATTTAAATAAACGTTGGGGGCACAGGGGTAAATTATTTTATTTTATTTTTTCCATTTTTTCTTTCACTTTTATCCTCTAGACGGTCAATTCGGAGCAATATCTCCAATATATATATACAGTAATAGGTGATTAGGGTTTAGATTTCCGCCGCTCTGCTTTCACAGCACTTCCGCTCAAAGCCGTCAACGGAGGGGAGCTTCATCCACCAGAACTCAAGATGGTGCGCCTATCTCTCACACACTCACTCTATATCTCTGTGTATATTTGTCAATGAAGTTTTGGATACTGTTATCTAATTTAGGGTGTTTTATGTGTGTGATTTTTTTTCTGTGTAGCCGTCGCACAAGACATTCATGATCAAGAAGAAGCTTGCGAAGAAGCAGAGGCAGAATAGGCCAATTCCGTACTGGATCCGCCTCCGCACCGACAACACCATCCGCTACAACGCCAAACGCCGTCACTGGCGCCGTACCAAGCTCGGCTTCTAAGCATACCCATCTTTTATAGAGTTTGGCGTTATATGCTGCTTTTCTTTTGTATTAGGATTGGATGTTTTCGGATGAACAATATGTTAGAACGCAATACTTCTATTTGGTTCTATAATTCAGATTTTGTCTTTAATTGAGATTTGAAGTTAATCTACAGACTTGATCACGGGTTCAATTTTCATTCTTCAGCCTTTATTTTTGGATTTATAATGTGGTTTTTGTCCGTTAAACACTTCAAATGGTTGGTTAATTATACGATTCTCCCTTGTGATCTTAACCTTAAGTTGTGCTTTTACTTCTCTTCTTTTGTGATTTGACTGTCTGCCTTTTAATTCATCTTATTATTGTTTTGAGGTTTCCTTGCAGTCTTGGTTACCAGTTGACAAGTTATGCGTTCAACTTTTATGTGCATTGATTTCAGGTACAGATTATGAACATTCTGGATGCAAGTTAGGCTTTTCTGCATTTGAATATGTTAATGATCTTGTCAATGATATGGATTATAAATTTATCAAGGCTGTGCCCTTGGAAGGTAAAGTAATATTTGGATTTTGTTTTACTGTATATTTCTAACACAAGCTAGAGTAGCTCTTCACATGGCATGGTGGGGTCATTATATCAGCACATATTTAGTGAATATTTGGCAGAGCTTATAAATGCTTATGAGCGGATCAAACTTTATTTTTATCTACCCATTTCACAAGACTTCAGTTTTTAACGACCTTTATACATACATTTTGTAGGACCCAATAATATTAGTAAAAAAAGAAGTTTGCCAAACATGATTACGAGCTTTTGTAGTACTTTATTGAATGTGCACAAGGCCCTTATGCATACCAAATCCCATTGGAAGATAAGGAGGCTTATTTTTGCGTGTTAAATGCAAAAATCTTGCCACACCTCAAATGCCCTATCCATCATAAAGTTTTAGTTTTCAATATATTTCTCTCTGACTTTTTTTTTATCCCTGGGCGCCTTTTTTTTAGCATTCTAAATTGAGTTTGTCTGGGAGGACTATCCTTGTTGTGAGAATGTTATCTGTGAGATTTGGATATGATTGTCTTTCAATGATATAGTTGGGTATTCTGCTGTGATGGATGATAGATTACTGAGCTTCTACTTGTGTATACAATGAGAGTTAGCATGCTGTTTTTGCAATTTGGTGATCAGGTCTATTGATTTGCTTTGCAGTTTTGATTATCCTTTTATCTGCATTTTGCTTCTAATGTGTGTAAATTGTTGTTGAATATTGCCTCTTTAATATCCAATTGGTTGACATCTATTTTGGACCTTAGAGTATTGTTTTGGAGGGGTTTCCTCATTCTGTTTCACTTTGTCTCAACGGCTCAACCCAAGTTCACTTTGAATTCAATTGGAACGTGACATGTACCATGAATATTTTCTTGTAAGATAGATACTCCATAACTATGATACGTTTGTTTACGACGTAGCTTTTCAAACCTTACAAGTATTGATTGTAGTATAACCATTCCGTGCTAGTGACAATGTTTATTGATTTATACATTCGCTATATTTATGTACCATGGAATTCTAAAATTTTTCAACGCATTTATTCACGAGTTTAATGCAAGAATAGATATGTTTCCTCATTCAGATGTAATAGAAGAGTTGTGCTACGTGTACAACACAATTTACATATTGGTGTACATAAACACAACTTGTTAAAATATGATTAGATCAAAGTTTCTTTAATCAAATAAAAAAAAAGGTTTTTTTCCACTCTTTTTGATACATCATGCATTTTTAAAACTGTGTAACTGCTTATAGACAAGTAGAATTATTCACAAAAACATGTCAATGATAATCTTGATAACCTGGCGAATTAATCTAAACTTTGACAAGAAACGGCATTTATTCCATGGCTTATAAAACATAGTGTATAACTTAACAATCTACCAATTCGATATAACCAAAATAGTTTCTGAAACGTCAATAAGCTATTTATCGCCCATACGTCGGCCCAAATCTATGAAAACTGCGAGCAACGTCTCCGATTTGGGATAGCCTCATCAGGACGTTTAGTTGCATATGAGGTGCTTGAAAGCATGAAGCATGACAGTAGCCACGGTGAAAAATTATTAGCCCAAGGAAATAAATGTAAGGTCATGGGATCTTCGAGATTTCCACAAACAGTTTATGTAGCGCTTGAGGCTTTGAGAAAAATGGCGAGTGATCAGCGCCTTTAAGACAGAATAGTCTCTCTGGGGGACTTTTGTTGATCATGCTTTCCTGTAAAGCAATGGGTATGGCATTATCTTCTAGAGTTGCAATATAAAACCGTCTCACAGAGCCATACTTTGTGTCAGAAAGAGAGAGCTTCTCAAGAACTGGTGAAAAAGGGATCGACCTCATTGAGACTGATGCCAATGCAACGTCCTGGAAATGAACAAATGAGGAGCAAGAGTAAAAATGATGCATACATGGAAACGTGCGAGGTAAGACAGCAGCTGAACAACTAAGCCACGACAATAGTAGTAAAAGCATCAAATTTGCAAAACTATGACACTCTTTGCATCACACTTATCAGCAGGAACCACAAAAACTTTTCAGAGATCAGCAATGTTTCGGTTTTTAACCGTATATTGCAATTATGTGGAGAAGAATTAGACAGTTATTGGTAGCTGTTTATATATCTACAGAAACAATTGACATTTGGCAGTAGGTGGGATTGTGCACCATACCTTGGCAGGACTCTGGTTGAATAGTAACTCCTTTAATAGAGCTCTGTCGAAATCAATAGCAGTTGGAGGCTGATTGTTCCCATTAGCATAAATGAACACCTGAGCCTGTCGTATCAGATCATTTGAATCCACCTGCATGATTATCATATTTCGCTTACACAAAATTATACAAAGTCCGTGTCAAATGCACTAAAATATTCATAACTCGAATGCTCACAAAATATGTAGAGACTATAATGTTAAATTTCAGGTGGAAGCATCATGGCTGAAGTGAATCTCACTGCTCAGATTCATTTTTAGCCTACCAATTCTGGAATGTCACCCACCAAGCAATAGGAGAAAAAGGAAATTCAAAATCATGCCACTGGGATATGCTAAACGCCTCTTAAATTTCTCAAACTAAGATTTTTAACCACAGACACTCCATATCTAACTATTAATATGATCCAGTGTTGCCTGGACAATTCCTATGAGCAGACTCGTGACACGTATAATAATCCTGCACCATCAATAAGGTCAGACTCTTTTTTGAGTCCTAAGTGAATTTTCTTACATTTTCCCCTATAAAGCTCAATAAGAGTGTAAATCCATATTAGTAAAGAACTCAGCATTACATATGCTGATAGGCCTAATCATTCTTGAAAATACAATTGCATGTTTAATATCTTTTGTTAAAGAAAGCAGGCCACTCTTTGCACACAGGAGCATTCTCTTTGCAAGCCAAGAATCCATTAAATACAGGGAACCTCTGGATAAAAAACAAACCTTGTCGGAGAACATATCAAGGGTCCTTTGCCCGCTAACCAACATAGCTGCAGCAGTAAAAACAGCTTTTGAAACTTTGGAGGGAAACAACTCCATTGCATATGATATGCATGACCCACCAAAATCATGTCCTACTAAAATCACCTGCGTATGCAAATGAAATATTGAAGAAGAAATATTAGATTATGAATGATGTGTAATACGTATTTAGCTGCAAAGGTTTATGTTTTCATATGCCAAAGGCAACTCATTGAAGGATTTCAGAGTTCATAATATACCATATGAACAATTTAGCTAAATGCTTTGATTAACCAAATGTATAGCATCCTGTGTTGCAAGAGATGTAAAACACAGCCAAGAACCTTTTTTTCTCCATTCACTAGGTTTACCCATTTTACTTCAATTATTATAATTGTGAAAAAGAAAAGAGAACAAAAGGAGAAATGCATGAAAAGAAGTAAAGAAACGGCATGAAGATATAACCTTCTCCCCATCAGCAAGGTTCTCAAAAAAGTCAATAAGTGGCTTCACATATTGATGGAGACTTGTGATGCTATTTGTGTCAAATGAATGAATCCCAGAACCAGTCAATTCTATTGCAGTTACTTTATATCCACCTTCTTCCAGTAATGCAATACTTTTATACCAGCACCAGGCACCAAAACCACCACCATGAACGAGGACAAAATGGTTGGTCTCTAGATTATCGACATTGATATCCTATCAAAGAGAACACGTGGGTAGACATTTAAGTCAGAGCCAAAATAAGAACAATTACGTCTTTGAATCAATTCATAAAACTGGGCAAAAGGAATCTACATTTTAGCTCCACGTGTGATTGAATATAATAATTATTTGGTTGTGAAAAATGGACCACGCTCAGCATTAGGATTGTTTCATGTTAAGCATTGAGCATTTTGACAATACGCAATAACTGACAAGTGATAATAAAAAACATTGAACTTGATCCGCTGAATGGACAACTATATAATAGCAAAAGCTTCTAAGAAAGGAAAACATTTTGACTGCTTTCATCAATAATGGAAAATTACGAAACACAAAAGCATACCTGACTTGGACACTTGGAGTATAATCTGTAAGCTCTGGTATGAAGAAGGTAAATAAAAATACTTCCATGGCAGGAAAAAGCAAAACGAACAGAACTCGCAGAAGAAGAATAAAGTATATAAAATAGAAGACTATCCAAGAGCCAATATCATCCTGGCTCCGTCTATAATTAAATGCTCCCTTTGTTGCTTAGTAGTCAGGCTAAGGCTTTTTCCAAACTACACTTTATATACATATTGATATTGTTTTTCCATTTAAATGGAAAATTTAAAGAAGATCCAGAATCCAGATAGTGGTCTTCATGAAAGTTTCTCAAGGTATAATCCCTCTCCCCCTCAAAAATTAACTCATTAATAAGAATTAACCGGTGACAAAAAATTAGTAAATTACATATTGACAAATATTTCACCTGACAGCAAAAAGATTAAAGGTGTTTCCTATTCTCCAGCTTTACTGCATGACTCTTGATTGTTTGATAAAGATCAATCATATCGGAATTACGAATAATAATTTCTCGAAACTATCTCAAGCTCAAATTAAAAAAACTGAGTGAAAAATTTTCCAAAATTATCAGTTATTCGGATAAAACCCAAAACATTACAATAAAAACAAAGAATCAAGTCATTTCAAATCAAAATAAAATAAATAAATGAAAAAACGAACGCTAATTTCAGAATTTACCTGCTTAACTAGCTGGTGTGGTTGAAGCAAAGGATCAGTGAGAGACCGAGCTCTGGAACTCGAGCTTCGAGGAAAAGTCTGATTCCTCTTCGAGTTTCCACTCGGATACCTCAAAGAAGTGGACCGGTCAAACGGTGCTACGCCGCCGTTCTCCATCTGCTGCTGGAAAAGAATCGCCGCAGCCAACGCTTGCTCATGAATACGATTCTCATCTCTCTTCGACGAACGAATCCTCGTCCACCGATTGCTCCCAACACCACCTCCCGCCGCCGCCACTCGTTTCGACTGCCTTTGCTTCGCCGTCGATTCATTATCACGAGAAAAGCACGAGCCCATTATTATTGACTGATTATTATTCGATCGTTACATACAAGTGCAGTGCAGAGAGCTGTATGTATGTATGTGTCTATAATAAACGTATATATTGGTATGCAGATGTTGTGCAGTTACGGGCGGAGCCAACCCAACTGTACTTCAATGAATGAGGATGACGAGGATCGAAGCCACGTAAATAGAGTGCGGGGTTAAAGAAGGTGTACATCGTTTTAAAGATTATTACTAAAATAACCTCGAATGATTCACACTTTTCTTTTCTATAATAATTTGCCCTTGTTTGGTTTAGCTTGAAAAGTAGTTTCAATTTTAATTAAGACGAGTCAACATTTAATTGAATCATATGCCCGTTTGCCACCCATTTTTTTCTCATTCTCATTTTCATTCTCTTCGCTTTCTTCATTTCAACTACACATTCTATCAATAAAATAATATTACACATAAATCCAAAAATTCTCCTTATTTTTTAACCTCATATTCTTTCATCAATCACTATTTCATCAATTTTTATCAAAATTTGGGCTATATTTCACTTATTTATTGTGAACCCCTTCGGGGTGGCCGAATTGGTGAAGCAGGTGAATACAGAGACCAAATGTTACGAGTTCGAATCCCCTGCCAACACTTCCTTGGTCCAAGCCCATTGCACATGGCTTGCCTAATGTTGTTTACATCTTTTGTATGGTTTGCGGGCTACTGCACATAGAGTTGTGTTTACTTAGTGCGCACTCGCAGTGGTCGGGGCTCCCCTGACTAGTAGCGCTTGCGGGTTCCTACGTTAAAAATAAAAAATTGTACCGCCCTTCTTAACTTTGTGGGATTAAGAAGTTGTTTTTAAATATTTTGGATGGTTACTTGAAAATCTTGTGAGGCTAAAAGAAATTTTAGAAAAAGTTTATTTAAGACTTTTCTACAAGAAGTAAAAGTCCTGTCAAATGAACCCTTAAAGTATGAGCTTGTTTGGATAAAGTTATAATGAGATTATAACGAAGACTAATAAATCTCACGAAATATGTGGGTAATAAAAATAGCAATTGTGAATGTGGGATAAAAATTAGAGTTCAACTTTAACTAATAAGGTGATTATCATATTTACAATACGATAAGTTCAAATCTTCATTTTGTCGATTAGATGCAAATGTTATCTATTATCATTGATAATCATATTAGTTTAGGACCTCAGATTATTGCGGATCCCCTTATTCATTATTCAATGAAGTTGTGATGCACTTAGACATCCATAATCAATTATGATCATCATGATCATCATCATTTTCCTGTAATGTCGCTTTACAGTACGTACCCAATTAATATTCTTCTGAAAAAATATTTGTTAGTTGGGCAGCCTCCTGAGAGAAAAATTCAACTCCAATTAAGTTGGTGCACTATTCAGTTGCCTCATTCATTATCGGACGGCAAATTGGATAATTTTAGAAAATTAGAATGGAGCGAGCCGCGAGCGCCTAGGCTCGTATTAGTCGTGCCTTTTGATGTTTAAGCGTTCATTAGTCACGCTTTTTAGCGTCTAGACCTGCAGTACAGGAGGTCAAAGAATCGTTGACCGCCTTTTTCTCGCAATTTGTATATTGCTCACGCCAAGGCTTAGATCCCGCATTTAAGAACATTGGGTCAAGCAACGCATGGTTGTGTATGGTCCCGAATTATATATTCTGAAGAGTTAATAGAAAAGCTGTTAGTTTGGGTTTGAGACCGTAGAAGTTTGACTTTAAAGAAGGCTTAAAGGAGGGTGGAAAGTAGCGGTTTCCAGTTCTACACTTGAATGCAATGCCCTTCTCATTACAATGTCACCACATGTGGATACCCATTTATTTATCAAACAAACCTTTAACACTTCGTTTAGAATCAAAGCAAACATGAGGAAGAGTGTCTTGTTATCCTACTTTTTTCTTAAATAAACAAGACGTAACATGCAGTAACACGTAATAACAACGATTGATTTGGACTTGCATCTGGATCATCATTCGATGACTACTACACAAATATCACTAAGTTAAAGAAATAAAAACAAGAAACATGTTCTTGGAAGGAGATACTATTCAACCGATCGATTACTAGGTATTTAACGTATTCATACTTAATTATTTCTACTTTAATGAAACACTTAACTTGTAAAAATCTTTTTAAGTTTTCAAGTCTATGTGAATTGTTTGTTTGTGGCCAAAAATGGATTCTTCCCTTGATGATGTATGAGTAGTTCATGGTAATGAACAACTGTAAATTCTGTAGACAACATGTCCAGGGGCGGATCTAGGGACGGGCTGGCCGGTGCTACAACCCATCCCTTCCAGCCCAAATGCTGAAGAAAAAAAAAATTAAGTAAAAAAAAATATTTTATGTGTGAATTTTTTTTTCTTT